AAAAAAAAAATTATTTTGTCCAATATTATATGATGCCCAATTATAGTTGTTTATACTTAAAAGCAAGTTATTCACAAAGACTTCAACCACTGCAATGTAGCTCAAAGAACCTTCTAAGTGACAAATGACTCAAGAACTTGAGCAATCACATTTGTACACAATACATCTCAACAATATTATTTCAATGTGGGACAATATGAATCAATCGAGTTTTTGCAGTTCTAAAACAGTCTAACCAAGCTATCATCACTTTCACCAATTGACCTGTTTGAATTACACCCTTAACTCCACATATAATCATCATTAAGCTCTTTTCCTCTCAGTTCATCATCGCAAAATCTCAACTGTTGAAGCATCAGCAAAGCATCTCTCATCGAAGGTCTACCTGCCGGAGATCGATTTGTACACATAAGCCCCAGCCTGAAAACCGATATCATGTCTTCCAAGCAACACTCTTCTCTCATCTCCTTATCAATAGCATGAACCATTGGCTCTTCCTGTTGACAGTGGACCCAAGCCCAATCGGCCAGGCCCATGTTCTCATTTCCGGTGCTGGGCTTTCTTCCGGTCACGAGTTCTAACAGCACAACTCCAAAGCTGTATACGTCGATTTTTTCGTTCACTTTCGATGTATATGCATATTCTGAAACAAAGAATAATGTATTTAATATTTATTGCCATTTTTTTTTTCATTAACATAAAAAAAAAGAGATACCATTTTTTAGATTGATATTATTTATTACCCGGAGCCATGTAGCCGAAGGTGCCAGCAACAGAAGACACAGTGTTCGCCTCTCCTTTCTTCATCAAAAGCTTTGCCAAGCCAAAATCAGCGATTTTGGCATTAAAATTCGAATCTAACAAAATATTGCTCGATTTCACATCGCGATGAATAATAGGAGGATTGCAATAGTGGTGCATATAGCAAAGGCCTCGTGCTGCAGCAATTGCAATTCTTAGCCTTGTAGGCCAATTCAAAACAAAGTTACCAATAGAACTACTCCAAGACAAATCTTTTCCGTTTTTCCTGTGTAGCCATCTATCAAGACTTTGATTTTCCATGAACTCATAAACAAGAAGCTTCGAATCATTACTCGAGATGCAACACAGAAGCTTCACGATGTTGAAATGGCGAACCGAACCAAGAATTCTAATCTCGGCTTCAAATTCTCTCTCGAGCAAATGATCCGTTTCCTTGCTGCTCCAAATTCTTTTGACAGCAACATATTGATTTTCATCACTATTCACTGCGATTTTGTACACTTCCCCCGAACCACCACAGCCAATCATATGACTTTCGGCCAAATTAGACAGAATATCAACCTCAGTAAAATCCAATCTTTGAAATGACATCAAAACCCACTGATCCGATTTTACGTTTGTGGATGAGAGAGATGAAATATTGTTACCTCTAAGCCTCTTTCTTCTATAGTATGCGAAAATGGCAAGTAAACAAAGAAGCAATGCTGAAAAAAGAATCAAAAGAATTAGTGCAGGTGATACTTTCCTGGTTTTTTGAGATTCGACACGACAGCTGGAAACACTGGAGAGTTTGTTTGTGGCACAGAGGTTCAGATTGTTCATGAAACTTCTATTGAAGGCCATGTTATCAAAGCCATCAGGAATTTGTCCCGTGAGTCGATTTGAAGAAAGATTTAAGAAAGTGAGCCTCAATTGTCCTAACTGAGGTGGGATCTCACCCAAAAGTTGATTATTCGACAAATCCAATTTAAGAAGGACAGGCAAAGAACCGAGCCCTGGTGGGATTTGACCCGATAACTTATTCCTAGAAAGATTCAAAAGAGTAAGTGATTTCCACGATATTATTTCGTATGGTAATTCACCGGAGAGTGAATTTCCATCGAGTTCCAAAGTCGTAAGTTGACGAAGGCTCGTCAAACCTTTTGGGACGGGCCCTGATAACCTATTTCCACTCGCCTTAAACACGACTAAACTAGACCAAGATGAGAAATCGGTTGGAATTTCACCGGAGAAAAGATTATGACTCATCTCCAATGTACTCACGTTAGCCCCTATTTTACTCGGGAGCTTCCCCGTGAACTTGTTATCACTAAACATCAACAGAATCATATTTGGTAAAGAGAAAAGGGCTAATGGAATCTGACCTGAAAGGTTATTTTCATATACCTGCACATTGTTTAAAGTTTTACAGCTGCCGAGTGATTTTGGAATTTCGCCGATTAAATTGTTCTTAAAAGCAACTATACCAATCAAAGCACCGTTGACACACAGATTTTGAGGCAAGCTCCCGATGAACTTGTTCATGCAAAATTCAAAATCCTTGAGCTTCGAGTGAATGCCGATTTCCGGCGGCAATATCCCACTCAAATTATTGGTAAAAATCTTCAAAGTCTTAAGGTTTGGTAAAAGCCCTATTCCCTGAGGCAATTCACCAAACAGGTTATTTACATAAAGATTCAAAAGCTCCAATTTTTCCAACTTGCAAAAATCTTGAGGAATTTTTCCGGTCAAGCTGTTCCTTGCAAGGTCAATCTCAACCAATCCCAACGACTCGATCACCTGAGGGATCCATCCCGAAAAGCCATTTTCATACAAATAGACGAAACTCAAATTCCTCATCAAGAACAAGCCGTTTGGAAGTGAACCCTCCATTTCATTCATAGACAAGTCCAAAATGCTTAGACTCGATAGGTTTGTTAAGCTCTCAGGTATTTCTCCAATCACATTCGCCCGAGTCATCCAAAGCTCGTATAATTTCTTCAACTCGCCAAACTCCGGCGGTACAACCGCCGGCCGGAATGGATTGTCCGCCAGCGTCAGAATCTCGAGATTCGACAAATTCGAAATCCCCACCGGGTAACTCCCATTAAATAAGTTAGTGTCCAGAAGCAGAGTTCTCAGCTCTGTCAGGTTCCCGATCGCCGGAGGTACGTCGCCCGAGAAATTGTTTCCCGACAGGCTGAGGTGGTGAAGTGATCCGAGCCGGTCGATATTCGCCGGTATATTCCCTACGAGATAGTTCTGTGAAAGGTCGAGAAGCTCGAGCTTCGAGCAATTTAGAATGTCGGCCGGGAACTTCCCGGTAAAGTGGTTGTAGCCGAGATCGAGCGATTTTAGGTTATGGAAGGCGGATATGGAGCTCGGGACAACGCCACTGATGTTGTAGTTGTTGAGGAAAATTCCGGTGACGGAGCTGTCGCCGGCGCACCGAATCTCCGGCCAGCTACAGGGCGATGACGCGTTGTTCCATGATTGGAGGAATTTCGGAGAGTAGCTCCATGACTTTTTTAAGTTCAGCAAGGTGGCTCTCTCGGCCGGAGAAAACTGCGAAATTACGAAAAAGGGTATGGAAATGTAACATAGGAGGTGAATTACAAAGAGGGTCAGGTTAGGCATTTCACAGTGTCTGGGTGGGTCGAATGAGAGATGAAGAATTATCTATTTGATAGAGCTTTGTCGATCACGAGATTGTGGTAATAGGTTTTACAATAACTTAATAATCATTAAATACTAATAAAAGGCCACAGCAGATGGTGAGATAAGAAAGTATTTTCCCCTGCGATTGAATTTTACTATGTTTAAAACTGAAATAATTCTTGATCGTTTGACATAGTTTACCACCGTGTTGAATTTGTTTGGCTTAATTGATTACATATCATTGTGTATATGCAAGTCAAACGGGGGCTCAAAAGAGCGGCTTGCTCAGCTGGAAAGTGTTGGTGAAATTACGATAAAGAGCATGGATGAGATGAGGAAAAAGGCAAGGATATAATCGAACCGAACAAAACCAAGCTTAAGGTTTTCGAGCTCAAGTACAATTAATTTTCGAACATGTTCGTGCTTGTTTAGTAACTGAATAAAAAATTTTGTTCGTGTTTGTTCGTTTATTGGTTCGACATGTTCGTGTTCGTTCATTTATATAATCGAACTGTTCGACAAGTTCGTATTCGTGTTTGTTGACTTTTTTTTTATTTTAATACCATACAAGTTATCTCATTTAATATTTAATATATATTCATATTTTTATATTATATTGTATATGTATATTACATATAATATAGAAAATAAAAAATATGTTTTGTTATGAATGCTGGATTAGTTCGGGAATTTGTTCGTATTCGTTCGATAATTAAACGAGCATAAATTTATGTTCGAGTTCGGATCACTACTAAAGGAACGTACTCTTATTGAACATGAATGAGTTTTGTTCGCGAATAGTTATCGAACAGGAACGAGCTTTGTTGCGAATAGTTCGATTCGATAATGGCCCATCAAAGGTACAAGATGGCAGAGGAGGGTAGTTTTGTTATTTTGTGGTTGTGGCGGGATTGAGGTTCAAATTTGACTTTGTTGGGAGGATTAACTCTGCGGTGGTTGTGAAATAGTTTGAATTTATTTTGTGGATATAAATTTATTTTTCGATCATATCGGTGAAAATGATATTTGATATGGGATATAACCTTATTGATCGAACTAACCAAACTATGACATGAACCGGGTATCGACCTTTCACATAAAAACCGAACCCCGACCTCCTACCTAGGGGCCGAGCATCGACCTCTTGCACAAGGACCGGACCTCGACCCCGACCTCGACCTCTTACCTAGAGGCCAAGTATCCACCTCGTACCTAGAAGCCAAGTATCGACCTCTTACCATAGGATTAATGTCATACCTAGCGTCATCATAAAACCGGGGTTGATCTTACGGGCAAAGGTAAAAACCATGGGATAATACCCAACTCTACACGTAGTCCCGCAAATAACGAGATGCCTGCGCGCATATATATATATATATATATTGGTACATTAAATAAAGAGGTAAGCCATATTTATTATTCAACAACCACAATACGTCTACTGTTCATCTTCTTCCTCAATCTCCCAATTCTAACTTAAGCTTTGGAGAGTTTTGACGCCGGAAAACCTCCAGCGTCCCTTTGCAGGTACTTGCGAGCTCCAACTCTAGTCGTAGACCGGACGAGGAGGCCATATCTCTAAGCCCAGGACTGTTCTAGACCGGAGCCACTCACACGATATTGGACTTTTTTCAAGCTTACAGTGATATAATAATTACAAATGGTTACATTTTTCAAGCTTAAAATGACATAATAATTACAAATGGTTACTCTTTTTCAAAAGCTTAAAATGATATGATAATTACAAATGGCTCATGCGACTTGAATTACTAACATCCTACTTTTTATTTAGAGATTTTCATGCATGCATGATGCATCATTTTCATGCACTACAAAAGTATGATGAATAATTATCTGAGTCAAGTGGTAAATAACTTGATGTCACTTAAGCAAGGTTTCGGGTTCGAGTCTTTGTGAATGCAGAAAACTCTTGTTGGGAGACTCACCCACCATTGCGAAGTGCGCGACCCAGGTCGATCAACAACGGATTAGTCGGGGCAAAGCTCTGGATACCGTGGCTGGCTACCAAAAAAAA